ACGACTGGGACGAAGACAGCGCGCCCGCCGGCGTTGGCGTCGAGGACGGAGCTGGAGAGAGCGTGTGTCAGCGGCCAGCCCGGCCGGTGGATTGCGATCGATTGACGACCAGCCTGTTCCGGGCTTATCAGCGAGCGAGCCAACAGGGTTGCTCGTAAACGATCGTAAATTTCCAGCCAGGAATAGTGTTTTTCTCTCACACCAAACCAGCCAGTAGTAAATAATCTACGATACGATATGGTCTCACGAACAGGCTGAGTGCATTGATCAACCAGCGAACAGCCTCGACGACCGCGACCGCGTATGCTAGAGCGAGCATTGATGGCACGCTGTGCTGCGCGCGGATGATAGATGGCGATCTCGGCCGCGCGGGGCCACGCTCTGGTACGTGGCGCCGGCGGCGGATCGGAGGTCGTCCTTGGTATCGATCATATCATGCATGATGCATCCCGTCCCCGGCCGGGTCCGGGTGACCGCGCCCTCAGCTCGCTGACGTGACAGCTGTACCTACCGGCCGGCCGGCTCATGGCGCGCTGCTGGCTCTGGCTGGAGCCTGCCTGCTGTGCGCTGTGGCCGCGCGGACGCGCAGCAAGCGCAAGCGCAGGCAGGACGGCCCGCCCCTCGACCAGTCGCCGTCGCCGAATTTAATCGCGGCGCAGTGGCCGGACCGGACGTGGTCACCACTCACCATCTATAGGTATAGCCGTATAGGTAGGCCTGGCCGGACCCGGACCGGAGCAGAGCGCGGTGCCGCTGGTCCTCGTCCGATCCCGTCGGCTCGTCCTTGCGTCTCATGCGCGCGTCGTCTACGGCCGCGACCGGTCGCCGCGAGCCCTCTCCCTGGCTGGACGGAGGAGGACATGCATGCATGATATCGCTGGAATTATTAGCACGTCACAGCTCACACGTACGTACTCTACCATATGCCGCTCTGACAGGCTGGTACCACTACGACAGGACAGCCCGATATGGTGCTACAGTCAAACTTGTCCTCACGTGTTGGAGTGTTTATTTAGGTACTCCCCGTTCTCGAATACAGCCTCTAATCTAAATCTTTAAAAAAAATAACATTTTTAATATCCCCGCACTTCCTAAGATGCCATCTAGATCCTTAAACTTGTCAAATAATATGGGCTAACTCCAAACGAGCACCAAACCACTCCATGGCCTGATGCTATATGCCTCCGTGGCTCTTGACTAGAGGGTCACACATGAGGGTGGTGCGTCTGGTGCCTACATGACGACCTTTGGCACTCCACCTCTATGTTCTTCGATCCTCCTCCCTCGCTACTCTCCTCTAGCTCTGAGCAGATCATCGATAATGTCAGAGGTTGTTGAGGCGACCATCCTCGTCGAGTCATAGTGTGAGTTCGTTAGCGGCAAGACCCTGCTCGTGGCAATGGACTAACAAGCGGGTGGAAGGTACTTGGCTACGAGATCGATCTGCTTGGTGGTGGTTGGATACACACCTTGTTTTTTAGCGGGGCGGGCACCCATTGACAAAGCAACCTTCCACCTCCCTCGTCCACCTACGGATCACAGGCTTTGGCCTCACCGCCTCCACTATTAAGGATACCGCTCGAGATCTACTTGGACATACTCTATCCATCCTTCAATAAATCAATTTCTATAATTGTCCAAAAGTTTGACCAAATTTATAGAAAAGAGCGTCAAGATTTATAACACGAAATTAGTGTCATTAGATATATCATGAACTATAGTTTCATAGTATGCTTATTTGGTATCATAAGTATTTATATTTTCCTATAAATCCACATATACGTAAGAAATGTTTTGCTTAGGACAACTCTTGAATTGATTGTTTTCAAGAACGAACGGAGCACATGACACCATTTAACGAGTTTAGTGACCTAAAATGATATTAATTTTAAGAGTTATGGACCTTAATAATGATGCCCCCAACAAGTTGTAGGGCATACCAAAATCATGAATTCGCCATAGTATGCCCGCACTTGGCCAACGATGATTGATGAAAACGATCGATGCGTGGATAAGCTTATATACTATATAATACACCCTGCTAAAGTGTGATAAATGTGAATGAAAGAGAGGAAGAAAGGGACGCTATGTTCTTCAACGGTACTTTTAAGCGAAAAATAATATTTTTCTCTAAAAAAAATCAGCATCAGCTAAAATTCAGCGAACTCTGAAGGATAAATCCTTCATCTTATATTTTTTTTCGTGTTCCATATAATAAAGACCGACAGGACAGCTCCGATATGTTGGTAGTGGTACAGCGAAAAGACCGTACGGGGCCAGCGCCAGTCCGCCAGTTGCCAATTGCCAAATCACGAATTCACAGTCACAACAGTATGCACCACGCACGCTAGCCTTCTAGGCTCAGTGCAGTGATGATTGATGACAAGGACCGATATGTCATATGTGAAAGAATATGCATCTATCTATCTATATCCCTATCGTCACATATATACCCAACCCAGTGATGAGGATATATTATAGTTATATGGACGAATTTCCACGCGAATAACAAAGGTGATGGCCGCCCCGGCCGAGATGATAGATGAGGTTACATTTTCTAAGACGAGCGACGGATCGGAGCGAGAGATCAAAATTACCGATCGAATCCTTATCGCTTATCGTCTCTCTAGCTCGCCAGACCCGGCCGGATTAGCCCGCCGGCCGGCGTGCGTCATTAAACCACCGCCATATGCATGTGACGAGATGCTCCATGTACCTGGGTATATAGCAAAGCATAGCACATAGCAGGCTTCGGCTACAATAGTGTCTGTGTGTCCCCTCGTGCAGCGAAGATGCATCGATGCGAATGAATATTCTGTGCTGTTAACATAGTAACGTACACGTGAATGAATGCATACATTCATGCGTTCACGCACCAATTATATATCTGTTTGTAGTATATATATTTTTTTTTGGGGAATATATTTGGCCTCGCACAACTATCATCTTGATGGTTTGATTTTCCTCTCAAAACACAAATCAAGATATGGTGCACCCTAAACTAACCATCGGATAAGCCACACGTTACAACTGGCTGGCTTTTGATTCAACAGTGGTTTCGTATGATGTAACGGTGCGCCCCATATGGCCATATGGTAGGTGGTCTCTTGTTATATCCCTCTTCCCTATATGGCACTATGGCAAAACAGCACAAAGGAGACACCTAAATCAGTGACTCGGAATTGAAATGCGTCACTAGAATTACACTAGTGACGCGGGTAAATAATACGCTTCGTTGATTAGTTATTGCCCATGGCTAGAAAATAAAATGTGTCACTAAAAACAAGTTATCAGAGACTCTTCCACATTACATACGCAATATAAGTGACGAGTTTTTTGTGCGTCACACTGACTATCTAGCCGTGTCACTAATGTGAAAATCTGAGAGTGTCGTGTGGACGCACCACACAGGCACGCTCTAGGACACGCTTAAGGAGCACCAATCCTTTCATTGCATCTCTCGAAGTGGCACGACGCGATTGGTGCTCTCGCCCTATCTCACATTCCTCATGTTGGCCGTCAAAATATGATCAGGGAGTCGAAGATAGAACTAGAAAATCACGTGCAAACAAAAGAGATAAAAAAAGGATCAAATTTGGGGAAACCCTGCAAAAAATCCAATTCATTATTGAAAACTAGTCTGGCCTATTTTCAATAGCCTCCCATGCAAAGTTGTGCCAACCAGCCCAAGCCATTTGACATTCTCAGAGTCCAAATCGTCATTTTCTTGTTATAAACTTCTCCGATCTCATGGGCCTAGTTACTAAGCCCAAGGGCCTATTTGTGAGTATTTAAGGTCCGAATGTAATTTGTAACGACCTATCTGTAATTGCTAGCCCCACCAGAGAAAAAAATGGAAAAATCCACCTCCCACCTCCCCTATAAAAAGGGGATAGAAGGTGCGAGAGGGTTTGGTCCATCACTCACTCTCTTCCTCTTTTTCCACTCCATCTCTCTCTCACTCGCCCACTCACTCTCCCATTGCAAACCAACACTATATGCAAAAAAAATGTGCAATGTTAATAAGAAAAATCGTTGTCATTTGATCCTTATCAGCAATGTAAATCGTTCATTGTCACAACCGCAATCAGGCTCCCTCGAAAGCATCATCATAATTCACATGATTATAACACATAAACATGGTTTAAAAGGCGTTAAGGCGAGGCGAGGCGAGCAACCCCCTTCCGGACGCCTAGGCGAGCAAGGCGGATGGTTGAATTGAAGCAGCGAAGCATGGCTGAGGATAGCCAGAAAACTCTGAAATACGCCTTCTGATGAATGAAGTTAAAAGGGTATGCCTTCGCATGGATGAATTTGAAAGGGCTCTTGCACAATTAGTCAGTGCTCAGAGGGAAAAGGTAGCCTTATGATTTGCAATTCCAGTTTAATGTTTCTAAGTTCCGACCGCATAACTTATCCAACATGTTACAACAATTGTTACCACCAGTCACTTGTGAATGGTTTAACATACAGACTGGTGTCAGTTTTTTGGGTGGCCATTTCTGTCCTTTAATCTTTCCAGTTTCTGTAGTAGTTTGTCTATCGGAGTCATGGTTTAAAAGGCGTTAAGGCGAGGCGAGGCGAGCGACCCCCTTCCGGACGCCTATGCGAGCAAGGAGGACGCCTAGGCAACGCCATAAGAATATCATAATATATAATGGCGCTAAAATTCAGAAGCAAATCAGACCTTAATATTACCAATTCTTAGCAGACATACATAGTTTTAGACCATAATAAGGATGATAAGTAGTGCTACTAGAGTACTAGTCTACTAGTGCACAATATGAAGTAGCAAAAGAGCAAATCTGAAATGTCTCAGTAGCCAAAAACTAGTCTCTAATGGCATGACTTAATTAGTAGCGCTGCTAGTGCGCATCATATATGAAATAGCAACATAGGAAATCTGAAATCCCTCCTCTCAATAGCCATCATCAAACTCTCCAATGATGTTTGTTGCCTCCTCATCTCCTCCACTACCATTGGCATCACAAGGATCATCCTCAATCTGTCACATATGCGTCATCATAGGGATCTTGATTTTCTTCATCCTCATTTTCTGAACCCAGCTCCTCCTGAACCCCAATAGGTGCAGAATTTCTAGCATGCTTGTTGTGGGCTGTTCTTGGTAAATTTCTGCCACGAAGTAACTCTGATGCTCCAATAGCTTCATCAACAATGTCCCATGTAAGGTCACACTCACAGCCACGAGCACCATGAGGGGGCACATGCAGTGAGTCAGCCCACTCATTGTCCCAATCAAACTCCTCAACAACCAAAGGATCAAAGCCTTTACCTTTCTTCTGCCTCAATTTCTATAACCTAGTTTTCATCTTCCGGTTGTAGGAAACAAAGACAATAGAATTTAACCTCTTATGCAACAACCAGTTCCTTTTCTTTGTGTGGATCTATAAAATAAGAAACACAATACACCAAAAAGATGAATAAAATGCTTGCTGAAATATTGGTAAGAACAACAAGGAGATGACAGATGGGGAAAAACTCACAAATTCAAAGGTGCTCCAATTACGCTCACAACCAGATGATGAAGCACAAAGACTGACCACACGCTTAGCAAACCTTTGTAGCTCAATAGCACGGCCACCATATGAACGCCACCAATCAACTAGAACAACAAATGCATCATATGTTAGGAGCTGGGATTAAAAAATGCTAGCTTGCTGGAATTAAATTGTTGTAATGTACACTTGATGACATTAAAAGAGAAGAACACAACACTTACGAGGGCTCAAAGACTCAAGGTTTTGCTCGGCCATTTTGTTTGAAAAAGCATCTCCTCGAAGAAATTCATAATCCATGGCTTGAGCATTGATCTTGTCTCTAGTTTTCTTATCCTCCACCATTCTTGCAAGTACATCAAGAAAACAACCTCTTAGCTATCCAACAGTTGCATCATCATTTTTTCTTATGAGAGGATGGAGCTTCCTTGGGTTCAAAAACAATGCAGCCCCATAGAGTGGATGATCCATTTGTTTCTCCCACCTTCGCTCAATTATCTCCATGATCTTGTCAAGCAACTTTTTCTTGGATGGTATGGCAAAGCTCAGATTGATCTTCTCTTTTGCATGGTTCATTAATGCTTGAACCTCTAGCATTGCTGGCTTCTCATCTCCATCAACCACCCTAAGCACAATGAGAAGTGGGGCTGAAGCTCTAAGGCAATCTTCAACTTTGTTCTAGAACTCTATAGAGAACACAATGGCATGCACATCTAGACCTGCTTTGGTTTTTGCCAATTTATTTCCAATCCATTGTTCACTATGAAATAAAGCCTTCAAAACTTCCTTGTGCTTGTACAAACTCTTCAAAGTAAGAAAGAAAGTTGCAAAATGAGTTGCTGCAGGTCTCACAAGATCAGCCCCACCTGTCTTCTCCCTCATGGCATGAAGGATCCTCCCATGCCTATAGATGAAAGTTGTAACACGCCTTGCACGTGCAATATATTTCTTGAATGCTGGCAAGTTCCCAATCTCCTCTAGCATGAGATCCAAATAGTGTGCAGCACATGGACTCCAAAATATTGTAGGAATCCTTTCCATCAAAAGCTTGCCTGCTGCCTTGAAGTTAGCACCATTATCTGTAACAACTTGGACAACCTTGTCTTTTCCAATGTCATCAATTCTTTCCTCTAGCAGATCAGCAAGCATCTTAGCATCATGTACTTCACTTGATGCATCAACTGACTCCAAGAAGTATGTCTCCTCCGGGCTGTTCACTAGGAAGTTAATCAAGTGGTGTCCCCTCCTATTGGACCATCCATCAGACATAAGTGTGCAGCCATACTGTTTCCATGCCCTCTCATGCTCCTCCCTCATGGTACTTGTTGACTTCACAGCCTCTTTAAGCAATGGCTCCCCAAGTTGATAAGGTGTTGGAGGCTTGTACCCTGAACCAAACTGAGTTGTGGCCTCAACTGTAATCTGAAATTGTCTTGCGGCTGCTGCATTGATTGTGGGCTGGTAAGAATCTAACAGTCTCTCATCTACCACCTCTTCTGGTGTTTTTCGAAGCATCTCAACAATGGTCTTTGTCTTTTGCTGTGCAGTCTTGTTACCAACAGCCTTCAATTGTATGGTTGATTGCCTTCTTTTGGCTGTTGTCCCTGAACTAGGATGAACCTTGGCGGCTTGAGAAGATTCATTTTGTTGTGCCTCACTTACAGGAGGCCCACTTGATGTCACCTCCACCACTTCTGCTTCTCCATCCTCATCCTCTAGGAACAAAGGTCTTCTTCTCTTGTTAGCCTCCAAATAAGCTGCCATCTCCTTCCTAATTTCAGTGCTCACTTTAGGACAATTTTTTTGCATCTCCAAAGCCACCTGCTAAATGTTGCTTCAACCTTTTTATCCCTTCATGAACACTCCCACCACACAAGGTGCATGCTACCTCATCCTTGTTGCTAAGGTTTGGCCAGTAGACGTACTTCCATCCTAGATCCTTGGTCTTTTGTGGCTTCCGGGTTGGATCATTCTTGGGATCATACTCGCTAGCAGCGGAAGGTGGACTTGCCATTGTGCTTCACCTGCATAAAAAGGCAAAGAACCCAAGCACATAGCATGGTTAATGCTCTGTATAGTTTATATAGGCTAACGAGCAGTTCAACAAAGAGCAAAGGACACTACAGTACATCCTAAAGCAAACACTAGTAGAAAGTAGCAGTATAATATGGGATAAAGGTGTAGGAATTAGCATAAATCAAGTCACTTTAGCACATAAATCGGAGCAATTAGCATATAAAATAGAGCAATTAGCATATAAAACAGAGCAATCAGCATATAATACACAGCCCCAGATGTTCTAACCACAAAGAAGACTACGAGTGGATCACTCCAATCTGCATCTATAAAACAAACCACAAGTATCCAAGCAAGAAGCAGACAACACCATGTGACGTGCTCTGTTTTTTATGCAATCCAACCACAAGCAGTCAGGCACAATCGACTCTTTAAGTAACAGAGGAAGGGAGGGAAACAGAGAGGAGAGGCACTACCTCAGCTTGTAGGTGCCCAGCGGGAAGGCACGTGAGCAGGCCGGCGGTAAAGCAAATCGGAGCCTCGTCCTAGTGCCTGGTGGAGAGCAGATGGTGGACGGCTGGTCTCTAGTCAATTTGGCGGCCGGCAGGCTTCAATCGAGCTGCGAACGGCGGGATCCGGTTGCTGCAGGAGGGGGGCGACCAGCGGAGATGTGCGGGGCCGCCGGCTATGCCGCGCTCCGCGAGGATTTGACGCCGCACAGGTGGGAATCGCCGCGTCAGGAAGCGGTGGAGCGGCGGGCCTCTGGTTTCTAAATCTAATTACTCTCCCTCTTTCTGATTTACCTCCTGCGCTTTATCTCTCCCTCTCAATTTGTTCCTGCACGCAGCAGCGGAAAGGCGGGAAGCCCCGACACAGGAGCAATTTCTTCCTGCGCGCGTCGCTTCTTTCCGCCCCCCCCTGATTTCGTGAGTTAAAGCATCCGCCGCGGGTGCCTTAGCGACGACCAGACGCCTAATCGAGCAAGGCGGACGCCTTACGCGCGGAAGTCCAGGCGAGCCCGACGCCCAGCAACTTTCCTCGCCTGGACGACTAGGCGGCGCCTTTTAAACCATGCACATAAATCATTCATAGATTTCCATTTTTAGTGACATGATCATGAATTTGGGGTTATCAATTTAGGAAATTAGGGTCATCCATTATTTAATTTTATATTGTCCTTTAAATTTCAATCACAACTCAACTTTTATGTATAATCCAGTTTTTAGCAATATAGCTTTTAGAAGTCAGCCACAAGGTGGAGCGCCTCCTCATCGGGCTCAAACCGTCCAGAACGTGGCGAGTGGAACGCATGCACTGTAAGCTAGGAGTCCGGTCCAATGATGACAAGGTGGAAAGCAGGGTAGAGCATATAGATGCGCCCTAGGTAAACGAGGGTTAGGATAGGACGAAGATGGCAGCGAGTGGATGAAGATGGCAGCGAGCAGGTCGTTACAGAGGGACAACAACTCACGTTTGCTGCCCGTAGTCATTATTATCGAATCCGGAATTCTGGATCTAGGCGCGAGGGAGGAGGCATGGAGCACGGAGGTGAATGCAGGAGGTTCGAGTTCGAGTTCAATCCGATCTACTCGAGCCAGAGGTGTCGACGAAGGTTCATTAGTAATAGTCTCGTCATCCGCTCCCGCGAAGTCCGTTTTATCCTTGGCGCCGGTGCGGTGCAGCCTGGTACGGCATAGAAGTTCTTCAGCTGCCCTAGCATGTAGAGCCTCAGTGTTTGGCGGAGCAGCAAAAACATCCAGTTGATCCTCCATTCGTGCTCGGGCGCAATCACGAGGCACAAGTTGTTCTTCTGCCCGCACTTGTCGCAGTCCGGTAGCGCCGGGTACATCCACTCCGACGGCACGCGGTCATTCATGGCGTCCACATTGCGAACGATGAAGCCGAACAGCTCCTCGAACTTGGCTGTAATCTCGTAGGAGATGGTTTTGCTGGCGTCGCAGTGCTTGCAGCGGACCTTGCCCTCGATAGAGGAGACCCCTCGCTCGAAGAGCTCCGTGAACGTCGGATGCGCGCCCCCAGTCTTGGTCGCCCATGGGAACATTTTTTCCTTTCCTTCGTTGATGATGGGTGTTCACGTTCCTCAATCTTCCCTTGCCAATCTATTGTACACATTCATCAATCTCCTCCTGCCAAGATCAATCAGCAGCTAGCAATGCAACTATATATGCAAGTTCTCTAGCATCCGCTGAGGCGACAAAACGGCCGGGTCCAACAGACTCTCTTTGTCGTTTTCATTCTTCCCTCAAGCATACTCCAATGACAACGACAAGCTCTCCATTGACAACGAAACTGGGCCGGTATTCATTGCACACTCCAACGACAAGCACATGGAAGGCATCAAACTCACCTTGCTTCATTCGGGGACGATGGGTGTCCATGACCACCTTGACGCTACGTTAGCATCGTCGAGCATGGAGGACTCCTTCAAGGGCCGTGTGGAGATCACACGTCGGACAACGACGTAAAGGTTCCGCTAGGGCATTAAGAAATAGCGACATCCATCATCTTCCCCCGCGGCCCGGTCTCTCCTCTTCTTCTTAGCGTTAGTACACTCATTGAATTCTTCTGCGATCTTTCTCTCTGTCATATCGTCATACATCGATGTGACAAACGCTAGTTGCCACCACCTAACATGTGGTGTCTATAGTCACGTGAAATCATCTACTCCTTCCTGACTTTTTTGGTGTCTCTTTTCAAGTCACGTGAAATCAGTGAAATCACCTACTCTTTCGTTCCAAATTATGAGACTTTTTGGTATTTCTATTTTCATATGTTTTTCAATGTACTTAGATATACATTGTATATGTCTAGACGCAAAGTAAAAGCAATGTATCTAGAAAAACGTCAAAACGTCTTATAATTTTGAACTATAATTTGGAAAGGGGAGTACTAAATAAACTAGCTAGCATTGTCATTTGTAAAGTATTAGTTAATTTCAAGTGTAGACTATCAGGTTTTCAGGTTGTGTTTTGAGGAGGCTGTAGTCGAGGGAGGTCAAATATGGTACTTTTCCTTGTACATACATCGTTTGTTGGTACACTGTCACCAGCCTAGTATGGAAAGCCGAGAATTGGGGCTTTTTTTAAAGGAAGGTAGACTCTTATTAATTCATAATGTTTTAAGGTACATGTAAAATTTTTGAACGCCCAAGAAGCCATACATATCTCCATGGTGCCAATTTACAAACACTTTTAGCAAGAGCATGGGCCTCACGATTTGATTGTCTACCTTCGTGCTTAAAAATGACTTTCTGAAACAAAGTGCTCCTGGCTTTAATTTCCTTCAAGATTGTGGAATAAGCACACAAATTTTGTTTCTGAAGATTCATAATCATTTCCAAGCAATCTGAAGCTATTACACACTTGCGCACACCCATGTCCACGGCCAATGAATTAAGTTGCTTCATTACAAGCCAGAGCTTCCAAAGATGACGGATCAGTTAAACCATCAATGACCATAGCAGTTGTAGCAACATAATTCCCTGCAGTATCCCGACGCACCACTCCAACAGTCCCCTTATCTCCAGATCGTGCCACCGCGCCATCAACATTAAACTTCAAGAAAGCTTCAGGCAGAGGTATCCATTTGGAAGCCGGTTGCTTGATTCTTGTTAACTTGGTTGTTTTATTGTCCTCAGTCAATCCAGTTAGTTGAGATCATCCAGATATTTTGTGAGAGAAAAGTACTGTAGCGGCTGATATTTTGGGAGAGAAAAGCACTGTTCCGGCTGAAAAAAGAAGCGGATCAAGCCGGGTTTGGGGTCAGCCGAACGCAGCCAATATTGTAATAAAGACCACACACAGCACAGAATCTGGGGAGCTTCTCATACTTCAACGAAAGGCCTCTCGTTTTCCAACTCCTAACGAAACATAGACAATCCTGGTAAGAGGTTTCTCCACATGTAGCTTAACTCTGATACGTAAGTCTCTCCACCCATTAATGTTATCATCCAGATCCACCTTCAAAAAATCACCTATTTTATTTCCCAATTGGTGCCCTATTTTCTTCGTTCTAAATCCTATTGGCAAATCATAAATTCGAACCCAAGTTGCCAGATATTTGAATCTCACTTTGGAGGGCTTTGTAATCCCATCGTATTCTTCCAAGAGAATAGCATGCCCCCTAAAAATCCAAGGGCCCTCATCCATCACCTTGCGCCAATCTCCTAGGCAAGTAAACTTAAGTAGAAGCAAGTTTTCCTCTATGGCCTTAAAGCTAACATCTTTTGCCAAGCTCCACGCATAGTTCATATTCACAATGAAAGCAGCATGATTGAAGGTTTTTGAGGAACAAATCTTTGCCAAAGCTGTCCATCGCGCCTCTGCTTTTAACTCCTCCAGATCTTCTTCTCTAAAACAATATCTTGTTCTTCATCCTCTCTTATCTCCAAGTGCTGAAGCAAAACATCGAGGTCACCATCCCTTTCCCTTACAGATTGCTGCAGTCCCGAGTTAGACTCGGCCATCCCCAAACTGAGCAGCTTACCAAAGGTGCTACCACTCCCAAATCCCGAAGTCGCAACCAAGGCCGAGAAGATAAACCAATGTTTGCCCTTTAACCAGCCCGAATTGCGTTGGGACTTAGAGCAATGAGGAGCTGGTTAGCTTGGGGAGATATTGAGAGATCTCGCACTGAAGATTCAGTGGGAGCACAGGAATCCCAGGCACGCCGGGGAAAGTTTGTCGAAAACACTGCCGCTCCCGAGAATTGGGGCTCGGGGAGTCGCAGGCTGATTACGATGCCGATGCTAGTTGTGGGCTCGCATCTCGCGGCTGGGGGGCCGGCTTGGAGGGCAGCAACGTTTTGCTGGGTTGATTGATGCGGGTCTGGAGTAGTTGGACCCTGGGCCTATGATAACAACTTCATGGGCTTAATTGCCATACGCCACTGACTACAGCCCAACAGGGGAGCCCTCCGGCTCGCAACGGGCCCGGCGATGTGGCCCTATCACATTGGCCAACGCAGTTCACTTTTCGTTTTCTCTCTCTCTCTCTCTTTTTGGTTCAATCAACAATCACGTCGCTCAGGAAAAAAGGGATTAGGCAAGAAAACGCGTTCATCCAATCCAAGCTCCAAAAAAATACGTATCGATTTTACCGAGAAAGCAACAACGGAAGCACTAGTAGAAATATCCAAGGATCAAAGAAGTCAATTCTAACACACCCCCACCGTGCTCTTCACACAACGAAGCAAGCAGTGAATGAACACACATGAAAACCACTACAGTGTTTATTTGATTTGAATTTGATTCACACAATGGCGCAGCAAGAGGCGGCCTTTTTATTCAAACTTGGACGCGTCCGCGACCGGCGACCCAGTGCAAGGTCAACTCAAGCGGAGGGCGGCGGGGGCAAGGGGAGGGCGGCGGCGGTCTTCTGGAACGCGGGGCGGGCGGCGATGTCCTCCCACCAGGCCTTCACATGGGGGCGGTCGTTCACGAGCCCGGCCTTGGGGGTCTTGGTGAGGTAGAGCAGGTAGGACGCGTGGTTGGCGTCGGCGAGCGTGAACTGGTCCCCGGCGAGGTACTTGTTCTGCGCGAGGTGCGCCTCGTAGACGTCGAGCACCTTGGCGAGCTCGTGCGCGTGCTTGTCCACCACCACCGGGTCCGGGGCCCCGCCAAAGAGCGGCCTGAAGACGAGCTGGAACACCAGCGGCGACGCGTTCGGGTAGAAGTGGTGCGACTCCACCTCCAGCCACACCTCCAGCTTCGCCGACGGCGTCGCGGGGAGCAGGGCCGCGCCCGACGACGCGTACTTGGTCGCGATGTACCGGTTGATGGCACGGGACTCTGCAATCAGACATCCGGAGATATTTTTTGTTTGTTTTCAGACAGACGAAGTCCAAGTGGTCAACTGGAATAAGATTTAGTTTTAAAAAACAATAAAATGAAAAGAAAAAAAAGGGATCTTGTTCCTAGATCTGGATCTCGTTATTCAATTCAAAACTATAATCAACAGGCTACGAGGAATTATGTCAGTAAGAACAGAGGGGTGAATGGAGAGTTTACCGTAGAGGACTTCGTCTCCGTCGACGAGAGCCGGGATCTGGCCGAAGGGCTGTATGGAACAAGCAAAATGATGAGCGAGAGGCACGCACAGCAAGCGAAACTAGTAGCGGAATGGAAGCCGGAAGTGGGGGAGAGACGCACGTTGAGGGCGAGGAAGTCGGGCTGCTTGTGGGCGCCGGTGGTGAGGTCGACGGGGATGATCTCGAAGTCGAGGCCCTTCTCGTTGAGCACGGTGGCCACGCGCACCACGTTGGGGGACAGCGGCATCCCGTACAGCTTCAGCGGCGCCATCTCCTCCTGTTGGTTGCCTTCCTTCGCTGCTGCTTGCTTCTTTCTGCTCACACAAGTCGGTCGGTCAGTCTCCCTCACGCACGCGTCCACACTGCAACTGCAATGGATAGTAGGAGTTCCCTTGCCCTCCCGTTCTTTATAGCAGTCGATGAAGAAGACGGGTGGGGAGATGGGCGGGGCCAGCGGCCAGCGGGCCAGCGGGGCGCGCCAATCACTCGGGATCGGGGAACGCCGGGGCGACGGTGGCAGCCGCCATATTTTTTAATTGCGCCACCACCACCGTCCACCGCCCTAATAAAATGGCGCAAATTCCTGTTCTCACCGCGAAAATGGAGACAGGGATTTTCGTTTTTTTTTTCTTTTTTTGAACTCGATGAACGATTATGACCTGCTGCTGGCTGGGGTGCATGGAACATTCAGTATCTGAATCCGGATATTCAACATCCGATATCGTATTTGTATCCGAATGCTTCAATCATATATTTATGACGTTGATATCTAATCGTATCCTATCCGGTATGGTTGATATTATCCGTATTTAAATTCAAATTCAAATAAAAATATGAAAATAAATATAATATCAGTCCATTCCTATCCTATCCGTTTTTATGATAGAGTAGATCGGTAGGTACAAGGCGTTACGGGCGTGGAATCATGGATGACGGACGCGTCGTGTCGGGAGGAAAAAAATGGCGGACGTGTGGAGAAGCGACGAGCAGCGTGTGCCCGACCAGCGGGCCGGC